GGCCCACTTGGTTCTAGTCTTAACACAGCAGAAGTCACTCTGCCTAGGACCCTTGGTTGCAGTAAAAACCAAAGTCCTTGCAGGGACCTGCCAGGCTCTGGCCCTTCTCCTGCCTCCCTGACCTCTTCTACTCCTCTGCCCGGCACCCTCCTCTCCAGCTGCCCGGCTTGGTTGTTGGCACACTCCTGCCTGCACCTGGGTACTTCGTTTCCTTGGATGTCTTCATCACTGTGCCCTGCTCCCCTGGAGAAGCCATCCCAGAACCACCAGACTCAAGATGGCCTTCCTGTCACTGTCATCTTTCCCTGTCGTTAACCCTTTTTAGCTTTTTAAACCATTTTTATTGTGAAGTGTATTGTATATGTAAAAGTGTAAAATGTGTATGTTCAGATGAAATAGTAAAATGAACATCTGTACTCGAGACACCCAGCTTAAGCAAGAACGTGAAGTGACTTAGAAATCTTTGTGTGTCTTCCCACTGCCACTGAAACTTCGGGCCGCTGAATTTTGTGTAAATCGTTATTTTCCTTTTCTTCAGTTGTACCGCTCAATATACCTCTAAACAACATATTGTTTTTGTACTGATAGAAATGGAAATGTACTGTGTGTGTTCTGTGAATTGACTCTTCGCAGCACTGTTTCTGAGATTCATTTATGTTGAAGCATACTCCTATGTCTAGAGTTCATTTTCATTCTGAGTAGTGTTTCATTTTATTAATAAGCCAAAATGTATTGTGACATTATTGATGGGCGTTTGGGTTACTTCTAGTTTTGGATTATTATACAGATAGCTGCTAGGGACATTTTGCTGCACACCTGCAGGAAGTGATACTGGCACTGTCAGCTTTCCTGGTTCTCAGTGTGGCTGTTCCCACATTGCATCGAATGTTCTCAAACACCTCGGTTGTGCAGGGTCCGTTTTTACCAGCCTGATGGGTGTGACATGGTTCTCTGTGTTTTAATTTGTACAGCATGAATATGAATGAAGTTCGCATCCTATCATGTTTATAGGCCGTTTGATTTTTTTCCTTTGTGAAATGTCTATTCATGTCTTTGACCAAATTTCCATAGAGCGGTTGGTCTTTTTATTGATTTGTGGGAGTCCTTCATAAATCCCCTGCCCTTTATATACTGCTAATCCTTTGTTGGTTACATGTGTTAGTTATGTTTTCCCTCTTTGTGATGGGTTTTTTCAGCCTTGGTGGTGTCTTTTTTTTTTTCAACCACCTTTTTACAGAAAAGCACTTTTACTGAGATTTAACGGACATACAGTGAGCTAATATATTTAAAGTGTCCATCTCGGGAGTTTTGAGGTACGCACATATCCGTGAACCCGTGAAACCACCGCCACAGTCAGGATGACCCTACCCACACCCCCTGAAGCTTCCTCCTGCCTCTTCGTAATGCACCCCTTTTTGCCTCCTGTGCCCCCAGGTCCCAGGCAGCAGCTGGCCTGTTTTCAGTCACTGTAGATGTTTTGTATTTTCTGTTGGCAGACGCCTTTCAGTCAGCATCACTATACCACTATCCATCCCAGTGATCAGCATATAACTGATCACAGTTCTCTTATGACACATTGTATTTCTGTGGTATCAGGTGTAACATCTCCTCTTTAGTTTCTGATTCTGAGTTGTCTTTTTTCTTTTTTTTTAAGCTGAGCCATCCGGCTACCTGTTGGCAGCTCAGCGGCTGCTCAGCTCGGGCTGGACTCGAACCGCTGTTGCTCAGAGCTCANCAGCCTACGCCATCACAGGCGACTCACGGCAGCCCAGCTCCAGGTTGAGCTGTTGTTCAGCATCTTAGCTGTGGAGGGCAGTGTCACTGGCCTCATATGTGGGATCCGAACCGGGGCCCTCTGGCGTCCCAAGCCAGCTCTTAACCAACGCGCCACTCGGCCAGCCTTTTTTTTGTTTGTTTTTTTAATTGGGGAATTGGGGGAAGGGGAACAGCGTTGGGGAATCGGGGAAGGGGAACAGACAGGTAGACAAATTGCTGTTTTTGTTCTTTAGTCTAGTTGTGGAGGACTTCGTTTCACTGGCCCATGTTGGTATGATCATTGTGCTCTTCCCGGGTGAGGCAGATCGGTCGCCAGTCATTGGACGGCCGCTCACAGTGGCTCCCGGCAGCTCACACCGGCTGCCGGCCACTCACGCTGACTGCCAGCCACTCACATAGCTCACGGCAGCCCACTGCAGCCCTGCTGCAGCCTATGCCTTCGCCGGCAACTCACAGCAGCCCAGCTCCAGGTTGAGCTATTGTTCACCATCTTAGCTGTTGAGGGCAAGCGTCACTGGCCCTCATGTGGGATCCGAACTGCAGCCCTGCTGCTCAGAGCTGGTGCTCCCAAGCGAGCTTTTAACCAGCTGAGCCACTTGGCTGGCCCTTGTTCATTTTTTAATGAGGCTTAGTTTTCCTCCCTATCAGTTGGCTTTGAATACGTATTCTTTTGGGAGTTTGTTAGGGGAAGCTTGGTAAGTAGCTTATTGGAAATCCTAGACGCAGCTTCTTCTCCCTGCATATGACCAAGGGTGGGGACCGCAGAGCATAGGTGTGACCAGGTGGTGTGCACTAGTGAGGGGCACAGTGCAGCAGACATGGTGCTTACTGAGCAGTTTCCGTACTTCTGATGGCGCTACAACTAACAGCTTTCCTCTCTTGCTCTGCCTGTCCCATTGACCCTGCCAGCTGGAGATGGAGGACGAAGACACCATCGACGTGTTCCAGCAGCAGACAGGAGGCTCCCGGGAGACCGGCTGCTGCGCAGAATGTGGCCTCTAGTGGGACCCGCCCCACTCTGTCACCATCCTTGTTTGCTGTTGAATAGTGAATACGTGACCATGCCAATCACAAAGGAGTCTGCGGAAACCGAGGACATCCACCAAAATTCCTTTCCTCTGTGACGTCCTGCAGGTGCAACTTAGAACTGTCTGCAGGGACAAATCCTCGCCTAATTCCTGGCCAGGCAGTTGTCGTTTTGTTTAGGAAAATGAGTGTGTTTTTTGGATTTGGTTTTGCTCTCATTTTTGTTTCCCCTCCACCTCCTATGACATTTCCCCCACGCTTGTGGCCTGAATGTCCACTGTTAGTCTAGATGGGGATCTTATCCCAGGTATTAAACCCCTCACCCCGCCACTGCTTATTCCAGTCTCGTAGAGGGCTCACGTCACCTCAGTGGGGGTGCTTCTGTGGCCAAGTTTTGGGGCATGGTGGGGATGGGAGACAAACTTCCACTTACTATTTCTTGTAGGCACAGGTTTTTGAATGCCAAATGTTGCAAATTTGTTTTGTGAGAATATGGTAGAGTTGAAGGGTGAATACTGGAATGCTTTGTGAGAGGTGAGAAGGAAAATAAGCGAATCACTCAGTAACATGGGCCTGGGTGCTCTGCCCGCAAGTGCCCCGCATGCGAGGTGGGCGCAGTGCCCTTGGTGCTGCCTGAGTGAAACCTGGTGCAACGAAATGGGCTTTTCCCCTTTTCTTACTACAGACGAAAGCAGTTCCCACATTTCTCACTTGGTGATAGTACCATGGCTTCAGATTTCTTCTGGTATTTGCTTCTGATGAGTAATTATGGTCTCAATATAAAAAAGTACGATTAAGTATTGCTGAGTTTGCAGTGACGTTTTGTGTAAAAGCTGCTTCAAAGTGTGGTCACACACGGCCCGTGCAGAGACAACTTCCTGTCCCTCTCGTGGGCTGTGCTCTGCTGCTTCCCAAACCTTGGCTGTGACTTCAGTCTGTGAAGTGTTTGGGGATCTGTACCTGTTAAAACTTAGTTCTACTGCCCTTCTGTACGGACCCACTGCTGCCTGGCGGCCCTGCTCTGCCTCGTTCTGTCACCTGGACAGTGCGACCACGACCGTCATCTCTCGCTTGCCCAGAATCTTGCCTTTCCTTTGTTTTGCTGTTGGGGCGTGGGTGGGGTGTCTGCCGGCCATGTTAATTCACCAGTTTGTATATTCTTTGTTGTCCTTTACTACTGTAAACAGTAAATATAGTTTGGTATTCTGTCTCTTGTATTAAATACTGCATTTGGAGGTTGGGGCTGACTGTCACAATTCAGCATTTGTAGTGACCATTCAGCAAGGCCACTCAGACTTCCATTTAAAGGCTAGTTGCTGAAAAGTAAGTATTCATCTGCTGCTCCCCCCGCCCACCCCACAGAGTGCCCGTGCTTGGCTGGTGTGTTCCCACTGAAGGGTCCATCCTCTCCGGCTCCCCAGAGCTCTTCAGCTGTCGGTTGAGCCCAGCTGGCATTGTGATGAACTTCTCCTCTCCTGGGTGTCTCGTAAAGAGCGGGCGGGTGTTGGAGGCAGTGGATCTGGACATCAGGCTGGGCAGTTCAAGTTGTTTGGTACTTGACTGTCAGCCTTCTGTTTCATGCGGTGCAGCTGACAACCTCCTCACTCTCTGAAGCTGAGTGAACTGATGCTAACTTGACTGAGAAGTTCCCAGTGGCCTCTGCCCTGACCAAACCAGGGTTGCAGAGGACTAAGCTGTTTTAGTCCATCAGGTGAAGTGAGCACAAGTGGACGGGCCAAGGGCCGCTGGTGAAAAGCATGTGCACTCGAGCACCTGACTTACACCAGCACAAGTCGGTGGGCTGAAGCACATTACAGGGGTGAGTTATCTGCATGTGCCCTGGCGAGTCGGGGAGTGGGGTGGGGGGCGTACATCCCGCAGAGGGGCCCTGCACTTGTGCCTTCAGTCAGGAGAGCAAGGCTGAGCATTTGGGAGTGACAGCAGCGCACTGCTGCCTGAACTCCCCACGGTGCCTGACCATGGAAGCAAACTATCTTTGAGGTCTTTTCTCTTAAAATTGATGCAGATTGTGCATTTGGAATAGCAGCTCTCAGTATTAATATTTTAAAAATGTTAAATTACCCAAATCTTAATCCCAGGATCTTTGGGTTAAATCCCTACTTCAGGAGGAGACAGGCCCCATTTACCCTGTTACTGGCACCTCCCCATGTCAGCACTGAGAGCCCGGCCCTCGTCCTGCATAAGCGCACAGCTGTACCTTAAAACGGGTTCAGCTGTGACATACTTTTTATACTTTAGAACTTTAATTGCCGAAGATGGAAAAGACTAATGTTTTTCTAACTTGTCTCCCCAGTGTGCGATGTTTAGGGAGCCATTACGTGTCACACAACTGCTACTCAGAACCCCTGGTCGTGCTGGGCGGCGGGCCGGCTGCGGCTCAGGTCTCCGTGGGGGCCACGTGCTGGGCACCCCGAGTCCGGCTGGGCCGCGCTGACGCGGAATACCGCCGGCACCGTCACCAGCCTTCTCTTTCCAAACCTGACACCTGTTGGAAGGTGGTCGGGGCCCCTCCTTTGCCCGCCCCTAAGGGCAGGGGTGACGGCGAGCGCGCCCGCCCGTCGCGGCCTCGTGCAGGGGCCGCTTCGCTGACTGCGGCCTCTTCAGCCTCCACCCCGCCTCCCGGAGGCTTTAAAAAGACCCCATCGGAATGGCGTCTGCCCAGCCCGCAGCCCATCGCCCTGCCACCGGCCCCGTCCTCCATCGGACAGTGTGACGGAACAGGCGCTCCTACATGCTGCCCAGGATCTCCTGGAGGGCCAGCGCCCCACAGGAATGAGGGCTGCCGGGAGCGGCGTTCACCCCACACACCGGCCGAGGGGACTGGCGCGCCCCCGCCCCCCACGCCCGACCTCGGGGCCACAAGCACACCCCCCAACCCCGCAAAGAAACACACGAACACGAACACACGCACTACGCCCGCCCGCTCGCTCGCCGCCCCGCACTGCGCAAGCGCGCCCCGCGCCCCGGAAGGGCTTCTGGGCCCGCGCGGCGACCCGGAAGCAGCCCCGGCTTCGGGCGGGAGGATACGAGCGCTTTGGAGCCGCGGCCCGACGGCACAGCTGTTACCCGGACGATGGCGGGGACGGCGCTCAAGAGGCTGATGGCCGAGTACAAACGTAAGTGCGGAGCCCGCGCGGGGCCCCGGGCG